CTCTTGCTCTCCCTTGCTCTCACTCCATCTCAAATAAATAAATATAATCTTTAAAAAAAAAAAGAATAAAATCTAGATCCCTTTCATTGTAGACCCAACGAATTCTCCCTCCTCAGCTCTAGCTACTCTCTCTCACTCCCTCTCTATTCAAATCACACACTTAACAGGCCTTGTTCTTCTTCCCCTCTCTACCCTGTTCCTTTACACAAAGTCATATCCAAGGCTCTGAGGTCAATGTCCCACTTGAATTCAGACAGCAGATTTTCTCACCATTCAAACCTTCACTCAAACATCCCTCCAGGGTCTCACCTGAATCACTAAGATGATCTGGTTTTTTTTATTTCTATCATAGCATTTATTTCCTGGTATTGAAATTGTCTGTTTACTTTTTTGTCTTCCTCACCAGACAGTAGAATCCCTGAAAGGTGATGTGTATTTTATCCAGCTTGGGGTAGCTGGCAATTAACACAGTGCTTTGCATAGAGTAGGGACTCACTATATGTTGAATGAATAAATTGATTAATATGTAGTAGAGGGAACACAAATATACAGGAAAGTGACCACTGATCCTGCCTGACCTATATCAGAATTCAGAACTAACTCCAAATCAATAAAGTACTTTTTCAGTACTCAAAGGTATAACCTAGATGCTATTTCTCTACCCTCTTTATCACCTGCAAAGCACTTTCCACATGTTCACATACATTCCGCCATTTAATCATTAATGGCACTGCAAGGCCATGTTACTGGGCTGGGATTTAATGTAACAAGCTCAGCATGTCCACACAGCGTAACTGGCCTTAAGATCAGAGAAGCTGTGGCCCGGTTGCTATTCTGCCAGTTGACTAGGTGTGTTATGGGATGGATCACCTACCCTGTTGAAAAGGCAGTTCCTCTCCCACTTTGGCATGCTTGGTGAATGTAAAGTGTCATTGTTATACATTGTTATCATTATTATCCAAGTTGGAAGTTCAAGGTAAGCTAACTGATCCCAAAAGAGCACAAACTTTAGGGTAAGGTGGGCCTGGCTCCTAACTGTATCACATAATGGAGAGGGAATTTTGTGACAGTTAATGAATCTCTCTAAGCCAGTTTTCTTATATATAGAGAGATACTAACGATTTTCCCTTGGGTTACTGTAAAACTTAGATGAGATAAAGAGTATAAAAATATTTATGAATTTTATAAGTGCTATATAAAATTGCTATTATTATTATTACTGTTTGGCCAGATTTATGAATGACTTAGAACAATGTTTCTCGAAGTTCCCTAAGTGTCGCATCATCACAAGAGTATTTAGTAAGTATACCCTTAAAAAGTTATTGATAACTGCAAACTAGCTTATTAAGTCCTGCTGTAGAGAGATCTGTTTAGCTCAATTTAACCTGCCATTTTCCAATTTACTGGAATAAGGGACACGTATTATGGACTATCAAGCATGAGAAAAGCAGAAATGTTCTTTCACCAAGTGTTCTCCACAGGACCCTCAATATAGATACTCAGAAACAAAAACCAAAATAGTAAAATAATAAAAAAAAATCCCCCATTCTACCATCCACTGACTCATTAACGTTTTTGCAATATGCTTCCTTGCCTTTAGAAGACAAACAAATATATACATGCTACACATACACAGGAAAAATTAAGGTAGAATTTTAAGAGTGAGTCATAAATTCTGAAGGAAAAGGGCATCTAGATATAATTAATCATGAGTGTGAAGACTAAAAACTGTTCTGATGGGGCATTTGTGATTCCCACTGGTTGAACTGCCCTCTTAGTAACTTCTGAAATCATATGAAATGAACAAGAAAAAAAAAAGTACTTTTTCATTTGAAGGCACATTTCCTTTAAAGTCATAATTGCTCATTTCACATGGTAGCAAAAGTTGACTTCATTATTTCAAATGGCTCTTTCTTAGAATCAACTCCTGTGACTTTAAAAGCTGCCATTAATTTCCCATTAGTAAACCTTAATTAAAATGAATATGTATCATTGTTTTCAGCAGTTGCATTTGTAATAAATGTATAAATACATTCAAATCTTGCCCAAAATGTTTCAAATAGCTATTTCTGAACAAGCAAACACTTTGATGTTATTTCAAAGGATTGTATCTATGGAGGCTTTTAGAATGGTGCTCTTACCTAAAATAACTAGAATTTCATGGAAATACAAGGAAAAGTTACCAACCTAGCTAAAATCTATTTTATTGATCTTAGAAAGTAGCATGTTAAAACATGAATAATGACCTCAGAGCTTTGAACCATTCAGAACCTTGGTGTTTCTGCAACATTTGTGTATAATGTGTGGAAAAGAAAAACTAGAAGAAGCAGAAAGGTGCTCTAATTTAAGGCACCTCATGGTCTAAGATAATGGTCTGATAGAATAATCTGAGATGAACTGCATTTCACCAGCTTATCATCTCAAAGATGCATCTGCTACCAAGTTTCCTTCCAATATTCCACACTCGGAAAAGCTGAAACAATTCAGAATGCAACTGAATTCCATGAACTTTCTGATCCCTTTCTCATGTCCTACATTAGGCTAAAGTTTGTTTGTTCGTTTGTTTAAACATATTTCATAAAGAGAAAGTGAGGCTGAGTCTTAGATCATATTTCCACCAAGTTACCCCACTAGCCTCCAAATATCTTAACTAAAATCACCAAGTTACCCCACTAGCCTCCAAATATCTTAACTAGAATCCAAGAACAGCTAGATTAGATAATTCAGACTTACATATGAAGCATATTATTCTGAAAATATAGATAAGTATCTGAAAATATTTTCAACAATACTTCCTCCTAGACAACCAAACATTAGCAGGAAAAATTTCAAAACCTCTAAGGAAAACATTGTAGAAATACTTAACAAAGAGGAGTCATGTGTGAACAGTTTCTCCAAGGGTTGGGTTGGTTAATGCATTTGTTGGACAGCCTGTGCTTTTCCTTCTGCATGAAACCTTACCCTTCCATCCCTCCTCCCCCTTGATCAGTTTTTCCATATGGCCAGTTGACCCAGTGGCTATGGTCTCATTGACATGTATTTAGGCCCTTCCTTTTCTGAATTATTTCTCACTTTCTGCATTTTATGTCCTGAGATAACTAAATGTCATTTTTCCACTGGGAAATATAATGTTAATTAAAATTATTTTTCAGTTTACAGAATTTGATATGATATTTTTCACAAAGTAGCAATCTGTTGGAAGCAATGGATAGTTCTTCAGTTAATATATTGAGAAGTGTTTGCATTATTGACATAAATGTAAACATTTTAAATGTGATTGAAAATAAGTGATTTCCAAATCCTGCATAAAGTTTGCAAAAGTTAACAAATAGAATGTTAATCTTCATTTTCCACATTATCAGATTAAAACTACTAATCATATACACCTAGCCACTAAACAATTTCAGTAATTAACACAAACATTTGAGTTATTCATCAAACTTGAATAAGAGAATCAAGCTGTAAATCTTCATAATAGTCATTCATGGAACATAACAACTATCACATTTAACTGACATTTCAAAGTCATTTGAGTCCAAAACATGGAGGTTTCCAACATCAATTTGTCTAACTGCATATCATACACCCCTTTCCCAGAAAGTATATGTTTGAAAAAAAAGTTTCACATCACCCTCTTAGACAATGTTTTCCCTGCTTTATAAAGCAATGGTCTCAGGAAAGTTTACAAAATAACCACATTTGCTCTTCTCAATGAAAACACTACTGTTCACCTCAAATAAAATAAGTATTTAGTCTCATTCCACAAATTCTCTGAGTCCTTTCCATATGAAATACCTCAGTAGAGTTAATAATTTCTAATGTCCTTATCACAAAGGTTACTATGAATGAAATTGAAATGGACACCAGTCTAGCAGGATATAGCCCCACATTGGTGTATTTACGAGGAAGTTTTCTCATTTTACTTAGACTACACACTTATCAAGTCATTGGAAACCCCAAAAGCTCTGGAATGTTAACATCGAAATGCTTCAATACAAGGAACTTTTTTGTAGGTATAAAATATTGCTTCAAAAAGCCATTAAAAACATATAAAAGTTGGAGGAACATATTTCTGAGAAAACGGTTTCATTATATTCTTAAATCTAGGCAGTGACTGCTCAAATGACAGCTCTCTCTGCCCAGAGAGTTTAGCCTTGTATTCTAGTTTCTAAGTGGAAGTGATATCTGTGTGAAAAGACTTGGTAGATCAGATGACAAGTAGCAGAGCAACCAATAAAGGTGCCAAGTACAATTAAAGTTTATAAGACGCACTACCCCTTTTCCAAGGGCTCTCAGTTGTATGAGAAATCAGAATATGGGGATATGGTAAATAATCACAAAGTGCATCATAAAGGTAAGTCTGGGCCCCATAAAGTGTACTTACTCATATTTGGAGATAGATATAAATATAGATTATAGATAGAGATACAGGTATAGGTGTTCTCCAAGAAAAAGACAAGGCTTCTACCAACTAAGCTTTTTACTTGGAGAGCAGTACTTCTCCAACAGCAAGAATTAAAAGGTGGGTACCTCACAGCAGTAAGAATTCCCATATAACTAGAATTAGCAACATGGAACAAAAGAAGCCATCCAAATTGCAATATACACCTAGAATTCGACATAATAAAAAAGGATTTTTAGAATATGTGACAAGAATCCTCTCCTACTCACTGAAATAATGTCACTAAAAATGGGGAGGGGGTAGCATGTAAACATAGAGAAGCTAGTAAAGCAGAGTTGGAACACAGAAGGGATAGGTTGATCAAAACCACTTTGCTGCCTGTCCCTTGTTTCTCACTTCCCTCCCACCCTAGGATGTGATCACAAATCTTCAAAATGCGAAACCCAGTTTAAGAAAAAAAAAAAAAAAAAAAAAAAACTCAAAGCGTGTGCCTAGGGTTACTATCAGAGCAACCCTAAACAATTTCCGTGCAAAAGCAAAGCAGTGAGGATGTAGTAGCAGCAGCACATCTCCCTCTTCCCCACCCCTGATACGGTACCTCCAGATTTGCCCGAGCTGCAAGATGTGGATGAGTGACTGCAGGAGCCAGATGCAGAAGGAGCAGGACGCGGACCTGTGTTTGCCGCTGGCCCGGGTGGCCCCGCTACTGTTGCTGCCGCTGTTGGTGGCGGCGATGTTGCTCTTACTGGCGTTAGATGCTTGCCTTTGCGGCGTGGAAGGACGAGCGTCGCCTTCCGCGGCTGCAGACCCGCTGCTGGCCACCGTCTTGCAATCGGCTCCAGGCTGCGGGCAGCTGGAGGCAGCTGCGGTTGTGGCGCTGTCCTCGGTGCTGAAATCGTGCACAAACCAGCGGAAGCTGAACACTTGAACAGAGAGCGAGCCGAGCACCACGAAGAAGAGCGTGAGCCCGAACCACCAGCGCTGGCCGCGCAAGTAGTAGTCCACGGCAAGCCAGATGTCCGTGCCCACGTCCGCGAAGTACACCGCCACGGCGGCCAGGATCCAGAGGCAATCCCACAGCGAGTAGCGCCGCTGCTCCCTGCCCAGGCGCAGGCACAGCGCCGCCGAGCCCGCCCCGCTGCTGCCCGGGCCGCCAACGCCGCCGCCCGGGCCGCCCAAGCCCCCGGAGCCGCCGCCCGAGCCGCCGCTCCCAGCGCAGCAGCAGCAGCAGCGCGAGCAGCCGCCGCCGTCCGGGCAGCAGCCGCCCCCGGCCGCCTCCTCGTCCTCGGCTCCCGACCCCGACGGCAAGCCCGGAGCCAATCCCTGCACCGAGCCCGAGTGGTCCGAGTTCTGCAGCGGGGTGAACGCCACGTCGCTGCTCTTCTTCATTTTCAGCCTCCCGTCTGACTTAGCGGCCATGATGACTCCAAACCGGAGGAGAGCCCTCCTTTATCTGACACCTTTCCCCGCTGTCTCCTCCTCCCGCCACCTCCTCGCCTCGCCCCGGCTTCCCTCCCTGGCGGCGCGGCTCCCCCTCCTCCTGCTCCTGCGCCGGCTCGCCCGCCGCCGCCCGCCGGGCTGGGCGCTGGGCCGGGCTAGCGGCGCGCCTGGGGCCGGCAGGAGCGCCGCCTGGCTGCCTGCGCGGAGCCAAGCTGCTCGCGGCGCCCCGCGCGCGCCCCTGCCAGCCGCCCGCGCTCCTCGCTGTCCCAGCCCCGCGGCTGCCGCCCGAGCCGCCGCCGCCGCCAGCAGCAGGAGCAGCAGCGGCCGCCGCGGCGCTCCTCGGACCTGCACATTCCTCTCCTCCCCTCGCGCGCGCCCCCTCCTCCCGCTTCCTCTCCTCCACCAGCTGACTCCGAGGGAGAGGATGACCTCATCCCTTCTCTTCCAGCTGCCGCCGCTCCCACCCCGGCTGGGGAGGGGCGAGGGAGGAGGAGGGCCCCGGAGGAGGGGCCGGGACCCAGACGCGCTGCTGTGGTGGGGGTGGGCGGCCAGCCGGTCCCGGGGGCCGGGAGCGGCGGCGGAGTGGTCGAAGGGGGACGGTCGAGGGCCCCAGCTCACGGGATTTCGGGGAACGCTGAGTGGATATTAATGACACAGGGGGAGGGGCAGGAGGGCATAGAGAGGAGGGTGTCCCAGCGTCCAGCCCTCGCGGAGGTCGAAGAAGAGTGGGCACGAGCGGGTGTGGCAACAGCGAAGGCTCAGGGGGCGCAGGCCTCTTTGTATTCCGTTCTGATCTGCGGGTACTGGAGAAGGCCTGGGTGTACAGCTAGGGCTGACGACGGTTGGGAGACGGGGTTTAACTCGGACGCCAGGGCCCTGAACGCTGGCAGCGGCAGTGGGTGTGCCCGGCCTTGGAAGAGCCGGGGAGGGTGAGGGCGTGCAGGGCCCGCAAAGGCATCGAGCGGAGAGCAGAACCGCGAGCTGTGAGTGCTGCGGCGAGTGGGCGGGTCTGCGGGGAGCCCCAGCCCGCGCCCTCGGGGAAGGAGTGAGCCGGCGTTCTTGGGTGGGCGGGAGCGCCGGGCTAGCAGAGGCGAGAAGGCGGCCCCGGCCCACGCCTCCGGGTCACTACGCCCAGCGCGCTCTCAGCGTCCAGGAAGCAACGGAGTCAGGGGAGCCGCGGGCCGGGAGGCTGCCCTCGACCGTCTCCTCCCTTGAGTGGGAAGCGCAGCACCCCTGGCTGCTGCCCGGAGCGCCGCTGGGCGGCTGGGCGGGGTTGGCAACAGCGGGAAACTGAGTACCCGCGGGTGGGTGGGGAGCGGCGGAGCCGCGAGTTGGCGCCACCTCCCTTACTCCAAAACAAGAATTACCTTCTCTTAAAGCTATAGGAGTTACGGACTTGATGTGTGGTCCCACAGTTCCAGAAATGACTTGAATAAATTAAATCCGTGATTGGAGTGTTTCACCAAATTAGATATAAAGAGGATACAGGACACTTGGGGTTTTGAAAAATTCTTAAAAACCCAATACATATAGGATTCTTTTTTTTTTTTTAACAAGAAAACTTAGTCCGATTTATCTCACTTAACTTTTGCAGTGTAAGAGACAGAGTGTAATTCTTTAATTACACTGTGACTCACATGTTTTAAGACCAGAGGGAAGTGAGGCAACACGTGTTACACTGCCATTAAGAGCACCAGTTGTGGTCTTCTAAATCTGGAAGCAAAACATAACACCCTCCCCTCCTTCCCTGTTGTAGACACAGGCTCAGTTTGAACCAGTGTGTGTGCCATTCTTAATTAGTAGCATCATGAAGTAGAAGTGCACAGGAACTTTTGCATGTAGAAATAGCCATCCCAGACATCTGGTGCCAAACCTTATCTGTTGTTTTAGCGCAAACCTGGACAAAGTGGAATTCTCCCCCACCCTGGATGTGTCCTCCTTCATTCTTACAGATCTGTGCCTGGAGGGACCGGGTGGGGGGCGATGCTGCCTTACTTGGCTGTTCCTGACTGTGTGGCAGGAGGGTTTTGGGCCACAGAGCCCATAAACATGACGTGGCATGTACAGATCCAGGATTTCTAGCAAAAGCATGGCCAAGTAATGAAAAAAGGTCAATGCAGTACCACTGAGTGAGTTAGAATGCCAGGCAAAGGGTGTATTTTTAAATCTAGTTTTAAACTTGGATCCTCTTGGAATAAGAAAATTCCTTCTAGAATAACACTCTGGTACTATTTCCCCAAGGTCCAAATCTAAGATTCCATCTCCAGGGCACTACAGCTGATCTTACTGTGTGCCAAACCATTGGGGAGAGGTATGATCTCTTAGGTGACCAGGTCCTAGGGGATGGAGTGTATTCTAGGTCAAATGTAGTGCTTTAAAAATACACCAGGTGTGAAAAGGACCTACAGAATATCTGAGGTTCTAAAGGCCTGGAGCTTACTGAAGGTTCCTTTAGACCAGGGATGTTTCTTGTTCAGTTGGTAACTATGCACCTAGCATAGCACCTGCACAGACTATTTGCTCAATAAATTATAGTTGAATGAATGCACAGATTTATAGAAAGAACATTCCACAACAGGGAGAATGCCACATTCTGTACTAACTATGTTCCCATGGAAACATAGGAATTATGAGACTTATCCTGTTAGGTTCTAAAAAAGAAATAACTAGTAATGGTTTCCTTAATAATACATTTATTCAAAACTGTCTAGACTCTTTTTAAAGTCTCTGTCTAGACCATCACTGGAAAGTGATGGTGGAAGATAGTGGAAGGAGTGTTCAAGTAGGAGTTCAGAGGGTAAGCATTCACATCCAGGCTCTGCTACTTACTGGCCCCAGGATCTGGGCAAATAGCTTAATACACAAGATTAATAGGAGGATTAGATGAGATAATGCATATTTCTGGTCTTTGTATACAATATTGTTCTCAAGAGTCTGTAATCCCATAAGTCTATTATTCACATCTCAGGATGCAGATTTTAATATCATCTGCTCTATCATAATCACTGCACCTGTCAAGGAAGATGGACATAATGGTTAAGCACTCAGAGTTCAAACTCAGACAGAAGTGTTTGTGGGCATGTTAGTTAACCTCCCTGGCTCTCATGTTCATCATCTATAAAATAGAGATGACAACAGTCTCTAGTGTCCACAGTCATTGCTAGGAATAAATTAAATGATACAGGTAAACTGATACCGTGTCAAGCCCATTCAAACACTAAATATACAATATTCTGTTAATATTCTTCATGTTTCTTCCACTGTCTCATGTTTTCTGGTTTAACTCTAAAATTTTATGTTCAATTTGTTCACTCTCCCTAAATTGAGATTTCCTCAAAACATTGTCCTTGGACCGCCTGCATCAGAATCAGTTGGTTTTTGATATAGTTTCCTGGCCTATCAGAACTGTAATCTCTCCTTTGATGATCTTGTCTTCCATTTTTTATCTCAGAGGTTCACTTCCGTTGTCCTAATCTAAATTACCCAATTTAGCATTGGGTATTTATATGTGGCATTACCCAATTGCAAGCATCATCTCCACTGCAAGTATCTCACTGTGATTAATCACTCCTAAATGGTTAACTCACTCCCTCAAGTACCCTTGGATTCAATCCCACTTCATTTTCATGCCCTTTAATCCATCTGGCCCTCACCTTTTTCCTTACATTGCTGAACTTCCATGGTCAGCCACCATTAGCCCAGCCTCGAACACATCTTCATCCCTGTCATCCCTCCTACTTGACAAAACACCAAACCTGCTTAAACCCCCCTCTCCCCTGACTGTGGTTCTGAGCCCCTGCAACTGGCCATGGCCAGAGGAAGGGTATAGCCATGCTGACTGACCTCCTTGTAGATTCATCAAGGGAAGCCTGCAGCAGATCCCAGGCCCTTCAGCATCACACCATGCCTTCCTCATCCCTTTTCTCTTCTACTCTTCTAAATGATTATTTCTTTTATTTTCCCTTCTTAAATTTTTTTTAAAGGTTTTGTTTATTTGAAAGAGAGATATAGAGCAGGGGCTGAAGCTGGGTGAGGGCAGAAGGGGAAGGAGAGGCAGACTCCCCCTGAGCAGAGAGCCAGATGTCAGGCTTCACCCCAGGACCCTGAAATCATGACCCGAAGCCCAAGGCAGACACAACCAACTGAGCCACCCAGGTACCCCTCTTCTCAAATTTTAAATACCTCTCCCCTTACTCAGTGGATGCTTCCCATTTCAGTGAGAAAAATAAAGCAATCAGAAGAAAATGTGCAAAGATCTCAGTACCTCTTGCCCCCGACCAACACTTATACCCACATACTCAGCCTCCCGCCTGTACTAGGGGACCTCCCATCCCCTTTCACTGCTCAAAAGCACAATTCACACCTATTTTCAATAACCATGGATTTTCCCTCTGGGGGAACACCCCAATCAGTATACAAGCATGGTGTTATTTACCCATTAGTTAAAAAATAATGCAAAACAAAAAACAAACAAGTAAACACACACACACACACACACACACACACACACACACACACCAAAACTTCTTTTGATTCCAATGCCCTTTTAGCCACCTCAAAATTCCCCTAACAGTCTTTCACACAGAGTTCCTCTAGAGTTGCCTGGGCTGGCTTTCTTCAATTCCTCTTCTACCCTCTTGCATGCACTCAGATACACCCAGAACAGCCCCAGTGAAACTGCCCTCCCTACATGTGCACCATCCATCCCTACTTCACTTCTCATCTTCCTTGGGACCTTCAGCATCACTGGCCTAGTTGACCATTGGCTCCCTGTACTTCACTTGGCTTTCACTGTACCACACATTCATTTTTTTCCATCTCAAATCCTGCTTCTCTGCTAATTCTGGGTCCTTTGCTAATTCTTTCTCATTTCCTCTATCTTTAAATAGGCTCAGTCCTCAAATCTTTCTCTGTGTACTCTTGCTCCCTTGATAATTTCATGAAGTCTTCTGTTTTAAAATACCATCTATATGGTGATAACTCCATATTTTTTTCTCCAGGCTGGATATGCCCTGAACCCCAGAATACACCAAACAGCTTTTTCAACGTCTGTACGCAGATGCCTAATGGACATCTCAAATTTAAATAGTCTGAAATTGCACTTCACATCCTCCCTCACCCCTCAAAATCTGTTCCTTTTTCTTCATTCCAGTTAATGGCAACTCTCTCCTTTTGTTTCTCAAACCGAAAAAAAAAAAATGTAGAGTCAT